CGCATTAAAGCGCCAGCAACCGACGCTCCGCCGGCTCTTCCGTTTCCCCCCGCGCCGCCCCCCCTCCGACGGATGTGGGCGGGGCGGGAGGAGCGGGAAAGGCTCCCCCAAGAGGCTGCCCCCTCCCCTCCCCAAGGCTCCGGGTGGCGGGAGGCGCGGGCCAATCAGCGGGCTCGCGCATGCGCCCTAGCTGCCCCCAGCTCTATCCGTCTCGTGTTCGCCCGGCCTCCCGCCGCCAGGTTCTCGCGAGACTCCGGAGCTTGGGGCTCGAGGAGGAGGAGGAGGCTGCGGCGGCGAAGATGGCGGCGGCTGCGGCGACCACCACCACCACCACCACCGCGGCGCTCTCTCTGGTAAGCGGCCGAGCTGGTCGGAGCGGAGGAGAGCCGCGCGACAGAGATGCGGGACGTCCCCGGTTGAGCCGCTGGCGGGGCGTGAGACGCGGAGCGGGGGGGGGAGACTGCCCTTCCGAGCCGCCTCGCGGCACCCTCCGCCGCCCGCGCTTCCCCCCCTTCCCCCTATTCTTCGCCCGCGGACCGCCAGGCCGGCCTCCTGCCCCGGTTCCCTGCCCCGTCCCCTCCCCGGGGTTGCCGGAGTGCGGCCAGAAAGTCCGGGTCCGCCAGGCCGCGCCCCTCCACGAGCCTCGCGGGCACCGAGACCCGATGCGCCTCCCGGATGGCTGGGCGTCATGGGCGGGTTGAGGAGCCCATGGGCGCCGCTCCGAGGGGGAGCTGCGTAGGCCGCCACCCAGAAGGAGCCCCGGAGAAAGAGGCGCCCCGCTTCTCTCTCCTTCCGGGGCCCCTCGTGGTTGGCGGCCCAGCAGCAGCAGCAGCTTCTCCCGCACCTTCCGCCCCCCGCCCGAGAGACGGCTTGCCCGATAGCAGCTGGGTCCCGGGTGGCTCTGCAGGAGGGCCGCACGGATGAGGCCCGGCCTTGCCACGGGGGTGTTCACGAGCCTCTCTGCTCCTTTGCCGGGCAGCCCTTCAAGGCCGGGCGGGAGAGGGGCCAAGACCCCCGGGCCCCCGGGCCAAGACTGTTGCCGTTTCAGACTTTTTCTAGCTGATTCCTAAGTCAACCAAGGCGAATTATTCTCTCTGCAACCTCCTCGTCTAAGGACTCCCAGTGGCACCAGTGGATTGCCTGGCCGTCTTTCCCTAGATGGTCTGGATCACAAAAAGTGAATCTGGAGAAATGCGTTTTCAGTTTTATCACCTCCGGATTGGGCCTCTGCACAACCTGGCTGGTGGAAATGGCCAGGCAGGGAACTGGGAGCTGGATTCAAGCTGTGGTCAATCCCTTTGGGGGAAGGCAAGGCCTCCGAAGTCCTGGAAGAGGGGAGGCAGGTCCTTTCACCCCCCCAAGGAGCTAAATCTGAATCCAGCAGTTGTGAATTACTTCCATTATATCCCAAATACTCCCATTCTTGGGGGAAGGTTAAGAAAGACGAGGGACTGCAGTTACAAAAGCCTCCAGAGACAGTTTGGTTTCATACCTGATCATGGGACAGAAACTGTGTTGGTTCCTCGGAGGGTTGACCTGAGGGAGGACTCGGATGAAGGGAGACCTCCCAATGGATTGCGGTGCTTCCAGTCACAGCATCCTCCTGAACCACAGCTGAGGACTCAGAGTTTCTCTGGTAGGTCCACTCCTACCTGATAGTTTCTGTTGGGAGCAGCAGAGGAAAGATTCTCGGTTATGTAGTGTCCCAGAGCTTCATTCTTAACTATCGCACTTAACTCTTTAAACTCCCAGGAGAAATCATATGTTAGTTTGGCGTGAGTTATTATCCGATACAGTCTAAAATAGTAGTGCAGCACCACCCTGGACCCAATCACTCCTATAACCTCCCCTCCCCCCCCAATCTTTTCATCTCCCCCTCCTTTGGGGGTAACAGACACCTTTGCAATTTCTGAAAGCGGAAATCAAACTTCCAGTGCTAGAACCTGGTGAATCCTTGGGATCTAGAGCTACAAAAAAACCTAGCCATAGTTGTGGCCACTAGGACTTCACAGCAGGAGAACATTAATGGAAAACGGAACCCAGAGCTCAAAATGCACAGCTACAGTCAAAGACAAAATGTCAGATACTGCAGAGACAAAATGGTTACTCACTTGAAACAAGAAAACAGAAGTGCAGAATGAATGGTGGTTGAAAAGATGTCTTTTCAGAGAAAAGAGAAGAGCCACCAAAAGGGCTTTGGACAGGGATGAGCAGCAGGAAAGATGATTCAGAGGGGACCCTCCCCCCCGGGGGGGGCATGAGGGTCTCTTCAGATCCACATCACTGGCTTTTAAAGGCATTGAAAACAATGGGTGGTGGAGGTGGAAGAAGGAATCTGTGTGAGCTATTCAAACAAAAGAAGGGGGATTACTTCCCTTTGGATTTTCCAATGAAAGAAGATGTATTTCCCCTGAAAATTGTGAAGGCCAGAGTGAAGGGCCAGGGCTAAAGCCTGATAATTGCATGATTAGGAATACAGGTAGTCCCCACTTACCGCCTCATCCAGCCACTGTTCAGAGTTACAGTGACACTGAAAAAGTAGGTTCACAACAGGTCCTCGGACTTGCAACCGTTGCCACATTCCCACAGTCGCATGATCACAACTTGGGCCCTTTGCAGAGTGCTTTACAATTATTCTGGTATCCCACGGTCATGTGATTGTGACAGCAGGCTTCCAACAAGCAAAGTCAGTGGGGAAGCTGGCAGGGAGTTGCAGATTTTGGGGGGGGGGGTGTGCTGCCATAGGAGGAGGTTGTGTTTAATGATCCAGTGGCTTGCTTAATGGCTACAGAGGGACTGTTGTGAGGCCAATGTGGCTATGTGATGTTTTACTAAATGACTATATCAGTGATGGTGTTCTAGTCCCAATTCTGGTTGGTAAGTGATGACGACCTGAGCCTTTTTTCCTCCTTTCAATGGGTTAAATCTGTAGGAAGTAGCTGAACATCTGGATGACCCCTTATATAATTGCTGAGAAATTCTGCACAGCTGCATAAAGCATCAGACCACTAGCAGAGTGATTGTTGCCCTTATCTTGGAGGGTCGTCTTGGGAATTTGTTGCACCCAAACATTTAGGAGCAGGTCACAGAGGTCTGTGAAAAGCTTTAAGGCTTGGGAAATCGGCAAGAACAAGCCGTGCTGGCTAGCAACACATCCTAGGATGTTCTGATTAATACGCTAATTAAATAGAGGCCCTCTAACGAGATGGCTAAGGGCTCATCATTAGCCGCTGGTCAGTGGAGCAGGTCTGTATGGAGCTGCTCCAGTGGAGGGTATTTCAAAGCTGTTTTGATGAAGAAACACTTGGATGAGCCGGTGAAAGGATTTTTGTGGAAGATGCCAGTTAGCTCTGTTGAAGGGGCTGCTCTGTAAACGCCCTTCTGGGGATCCCAGCTGGGAAGAAGTGCAGGCATCGGCCTCTAAAGTGATGGGGAGGCAGACAATTTACATACCAAACAGATTATTCTGAAGTTGCTATTGGTCCTGTTTCCCCTGCCCTCCCCCGCTCAGTGAAACTGGGCTTCCCTGCCCACCCTGTATAGGTCTCCTGTGTTCAGGCTTTCATGGGCATCTCTCCAATTTCAGGGCACCGAGACCATCAAGGTGGAAAATGGACAGAGCACGTCAGCCAAGCTTGGGCTCCCTCCTCTTACCCCGGAGCAGCAGGAGGCCCTTCAGAAGGTGAGCAGCTTGACCAAGGTAGTCAGCCAGCCTAAGCATAGCCAGAGAGAGAGAGGGAGAGAGAGGGAGGCCTGGGCAAGGATCTTTCCCCTTCCGGGCAGGGCCCCACCAGGAATGTACTGTCTCCCTGCACAGGAGTGGGCTGTAATCAGATTGGGGGATTTTACCCAGATATTCAGTGAGGTGCTAACAGATGCAGAACAAATGAATGGGCATTAATGTGGCTTCGCCCAAATCTGTAACTGCACAGACGCCTAGAAAGGTGGTGCTTTTAGGGCAAGCGTGCATCGCTTCGTGCTGACGGCGTACGTATGTGTGTGTCGCCCGCCCACCCCACTTCCATCGTAGAACTAAAATCCAAAACAGAACTCAGGATGGACACCTCAGGTTTCCCAAGTAGCTGGGGACAAACCTCCCTGGAATAAAGCGGCTTTTACTAATTCTTAGAAAATTGAACGGGATGAGGAGCGGCGTAAGGAAACCTGCCCCATTGAACTCTGGCTCAATAGGGCTGGGCAGGCAGAGGATACTGGACTCTCAGCAGGGAACTGGTAAAGGTGTTCCACACGTGCGACGGTTGTAAATCCCATGTTGGAATCAGCAGGAAGTGCATTGAAAATGAAACGGCCCTCATAGGAAGGGCCGGGGGCTTGAATCGTGCTCAGATTTCTGCCTATTACTTGGATCCCTCCTGCTGGAGAAAACAGTGAGACAGCTGGGGAAGAAGGCCCATGAAAAATAACCAACCTTGTCAGAGGATTCCCCCTAGGAAAGGTGGTCCTTTCTAAGCTCAGAGGAGAGGCAGGCACAGCATTGGTGATGTGGGTAGTGGGGGGGGGGCAACTGGGGTTGATGCATGGTACCCCGAGGTGAGGAGGAGAGGGCTGCTGCCTTAACCAGCTGGCAGGCACTGACAGGAGAGGAGGCCCAGGGCCCTCCTGTTGGTGCTGCGGGGCTTCCTCAGGGCATTGAGTCGGTCCCAGTGGACCCTGAAGGCAGGGCCAGAGCTCCAGCCTTTTTTGCGGGGAGGGGGCAGCAGCCAAGCGAGTGTTCTGGTCTGGCTGGCTTGTGGAGCAGCTGGGGGGAAGCCCAGCGCTGTTCCAGAGTCTTGCTCCCAGGTTTGTTGTGGAGGTTCCCTCAAGTCCTTAGGGAAGAAAGCCGTGAGGCCTGTCCCCTTTTACTGTGGCAATGTTAGGAAGCGAGCATTTTATTTATGCACAAAAACCCTTAGATAGGCAGCCACTATCTTATATGGAACTTTGGGCGGCTCCCTTACCAACAATTTAAACGGCACCAATGATAAGAACAGCCTAGTATATATCTAAGTATACGGTTCTAAATCTGTCCTTCCCCTAAAACCTTGAATGGAGAGAGACGTTTGTTGAATAAAGGAACCTCCAATGGCTGACTTACAGAATAACGGGTCCAAGATCCGGGTCACATAACTGCTACGGAGCTAAAAAAAAATATAAAACATTTTATGACATAAAATTATCATAAGGCGTTTTACGACATAATAGAAAAGGTCCCACCTGGCCTAACAGGGGAGCTGGTGGGGCTGACGGAGGGAGGAGGGTGGGTGGCTGCGAGCAGGAGGACCGCCTTATCCCTGATCCAGCTGCTGAGTCTGTCGGTGCTCGGGGCCAGAGGTTTGCCAGCTGCTGGTCTCTGTGACTTTGGTTTCTCTCCTCCCTCTCCTGCCAGGCCAAAAAATACGCAATGGAGCAGAGCATCAAAAGCGTCCTGGTTAAGCAGACGATTGCCCACCAGCAGCAGCAGCTCACCAACCTCCAGGTGAGGCCTTGCCAGGATGCCCTTGCTTTTGACACGCCCTCCCCTCCCCCCTCTCCAGGGCAGCCCCTTGCGCACTTAGAGCCACTGCCAGTCCCGAGATCTGCCCCCCGGAGTGCTGCCTTTGGCCTGCCATGACCTCTCAGGCCTAGACATGGCCGCCTGTGGAGGGAAGCTTAGCTCCCTGGACAGAGAGAGGGAGGGAGGGAGGGAGGGAG